ATGATAACCAGAGCCGCGACGTTGTCGGGCAACTCATTGGCGGCTCGTCGCCTTACGGTAGAGACTCGGGCCACATGGGCCACATCACGCCACATATAGCGGTCAGCCGGTTAGGTATCGAGCGTTCAATAGAGTAGTAACGAATTTATATTCCCTACGTTTTCTACAGTTTTTCTGCGAATTATTTTCCTAGTTTTGTTGTCTGGTTGTTTATCTTATTTTATTGTTCCTATTGTTTTTCTTGACGAGTTTAATTTAGATTTAAGAAGTTTAAGTATTTTTTTATTTATTCTTACATTAGTAATTCTTACAGAGTTTCATATTTTGGTTCCAATTTGTTCGTTCTTATTAAGTTTTCCTTGTTGTATTTTATTTTCGCATTATTTATTATTTTTTTCCATTTTGAGTTTAAATCTCAAGGGTGCGTTGTATATATAATTCAGTTTGTATATATATTTTTTTATAAGTTTCCAAAAGCATCTTTATAGCTTTTTAAAATGAATTTTGATTTGCGTTCAAAAGGTTACAAAAAAAATCACCGGCTGGATATCAAAATACAATCTACAAGCTGTCTTTGCTGTAACTGGAGAAACTGAAGTACAGTGCAATATTTGTAGTAAACGATTAAGTTGTTCTAAAAACAATCACCTATTAAACCACATAAAATGTAAATCCCACATTGACCAAGAAAAAAACTTTTCCCCAGACACGTTCAATATGGATTTATGTGAAGCGTTTTTGGCCGCAAATATACCTTTAGAAAAATTAAAAAATCCAAACCTAAAAGCATTCCTTACTAAATATACTGAGAAATCCATTCCACACCCCTCTACACTCCGCAAATATTATGTACCAAAAATTTATTCAAAAACCATAAATGCCATTAAAAGCAAAGTTGATAATAGTTTTGTATGGGTCAGTGCTGATGAAACTACTGATTTATTAGGTCGTAGTATTGTCAATGTCGTTTTAGGTACTTTGGATGCAACAAGATATTCAAAAAGCTTTTTGATTGCTACTAAGGTAGCAAATAAGGTTAATGCAGAGTATGTGGCAGAAATTATAAATAAAAGTTTGTCCGAAATTTTTACAGA